CCTTCCTTCCTTCTTCCTCATAGCAGGCTGGGGAATTCTGGGAGTTGAAATCCACCCATCTTAAAGAGGCCAAGCTTGGGAGGTGCTGCCTTAGAAGGAGGTCGAAGGAAGCCACTCCAAATGGTCATTTGACCTCCTGACCCCAAGAGGGCTCACCCTCCAGGAAGCAGCTGGGGGAGGGTCCCAGGCCAAGCCCATCAGGAGGGGGGGCAGGGTGGGGCCCAAGGCGTGGCTGGGGGAAAAGGCAGGCGGAGCAAAGGGGAGGGAGGGTCCCGAGGGGCAGGGAAGGCCAAGCCCCCTCCCCAGCGCTCCCTCTTCCCTGAAGGAGCTGCGCCCCAGCCCAGACCCAGCCCCCCCTTTGAGGCTCTTACCCCGATGGTGGAGGCCATGTAATCCGCACACATTTCCGCAAAGTCACGTTCCAGGACTCCGTAGTAGAGGCCATAGAACAGGAGGGAGATCCCAAAATCCATCCCGTCTTCCGGTTTAATCCTGCCGGGGGTGGGGGGGTGGGGGGTGAAGAGACTTTAGAACCCTTTATGCAGCTTTTAAGGCAGGCTTCGAACCCAGGACCCTGAGAAGCCCTGCCTGGCGCTCCAGCTATTCCCTGAGCCCTCCTTTGGGGCTATTTGCTGGTGAGGGTCAGGGGTCTTCGAGACAGCCCCCCCCACTGTTCATGGTGCAAATTATAATTATTAAATTAGTGCTATCACTGATGGTTTTACCTAGTTTGGAAATGAGAGATCTAGGAGGAAAACCACCAAGCTGAGAGAGCACCCAGGACTCCACTCTCCTCCTCCTCTCCCTCCTAGCACTGATGATGTTCCCTAGTTGGGTCATGAAACGTCTGCTAGAAAACCACCAGGCTCAGAGAGCAGCAAGGATCCCCCCCCATCCTCCTCCTCCTCCTCCACTCTCCAAACCACACTCCCTTCTAACTCTGATGATATTACCTAGTTTGGTAACGAGACGTCTGCAAGAAAACCACCAAGGTTTTCGGAGAGCACCAAGGACCCCACCGTTTTTACATTTGAAGTCTGGTGTGTGTGTTTGTGTGTGTGTGTGTGTGAGAGAGAGAGAGAGAGAGAGCGAGACAGAGAGAGAGGAGGGAGAGAAGAGAGGAGAAAAGAGAAAGGGAAGAGAGAAAGAGAAGAGAGAGAGAGAGGAGAGAGAAGAGAAGAGAGAGAGAGAGAGAAAGGGAAAAGAGAGAGAGGACAGAGAGAGAAAGAGAGAGGAGAGAGAGGAGGAGAGAGAGAGAGAAGACAAGAGAGAGAGAGGAGAGAGAGGAGAGAGAAGAGGAAAGAGAGAGAGCAGAGACAGAGAGAGAGCAGAGAGAGAGAGAGGAGGGAGAGAGAAGAGAGAGGAGAGGAGAAAAAACAAAACAGAGAGAGGAGAGAGAGAGAAAGGGAAGAGAGAGAGAGAGGAGAGAGAGAAGAGAGAGAGAGGAGAGAGAAGAGGAAAGAGAGAGAGCAGAGA